GAAACCCAACTGATGTTTTGAGACCGAGGAATTTGTTTTCCGAATTGGTTTCATTTCTTTGAACGGTTTTTCTAAAACACGGTAGTCACTTAGGAGAGGCTGGTAAGCATCATGATCGTGTTTATATTAACTAAGTTCCATTTCAAGAACTTTTATTTTACTCTGTAAATTATGATTCTCTTGACCTCGTTTGTTGACCTTCATCTTTATGTCATTCAATAACAATAATTATTATTATTTATTCGCAAATAACAGATTGTTACATGAGGCATGCCGGTTTACTGTCAAGATCAAATTGTTAAAGAAGTTACAATTTTTACCGTTGAAAATTACTGAGCAGGGTTTATATTTCATAAGATATGAATGTAAATGGATTTCGTAAGAAACATGTCACTATCAAACTTGGCGCACTTTATGGAGGTAGCGTTGCAACATACAACTGATGGTCGAGAATAGATACATGCGAAGTTGGGGGCATTTAGAAGTTTCAAAATTATATCTCTCCAGAATATCGGAATCTTTAATAACGGTGTAGGACGAAGTCACCCGTGCCATATCTGATTTCGGTGGAGTATCTTCAGGAGGCTGAAAAAGGTGTAAGAAAAAGGAAGGACGAAAAGCAGAGCACACAATATTCGCCTTACCCTTACAACAGTGGACCAAATAAAGCAAATATTGATTATAATCAATGACCCTTGATCATAGATATGTCTCAAACTTCCTAAAACTTTAAGTACACTCCTGGAAGTTCATCGAAATATCTCAAATCCACCTTCTCAAGTTTTGCGCCTACAACAGAGGCCATAGATATTTTAAGCCTTAACTTCCCATCTAAACTAATATTTTTTTACCCCATCTGGCATCGAATCACAACAACGTAAGCCAAATAACTTCCACTAACCACCAGATATTCGTTTAGAACTGTAGAATTCAAACACAGGTTTGGACTGAAGAACAACTGTCTAGGTAAGTTGAAACTAAATCAAGGTGATTAGGTAAATGACGGTTCTAGACTTCACTTATAATATAGATGTACATTATTATCTAAACAAATATCACCAACCAGTTATTCAACCAATAACTGTTCAATCAGTAATCAAACCTAAATTACAATAAAAAACAAATTGATATAGGATGTAAGAGAATTACCAAGGTTAACAAATAAATGTTATTCTATCCTTTCTGGATAGACCACATGCAAATTCGCTCAAAAGTTAATATTTGGTTGCACAGTGTGTTTCTAATTCTATAAAAGCGCTTCAAGTCACAATAAAAAATGCACGATTCCTGTCAATGCAAGCAACACAATCAAAGAGGAAACTAATTGATATGGTTACCGCCAAGACTAATTATCAATTAAAACAACATAAATGCAGTTCAGGAAGAAACATGGATACTCAGTGAAAAAGTAAGGAAAATAAAAAACAACATTAAAATACAAATAATTTCACCTCAATTGGAACCAAAAGAACTAACAGAAGAAACAAGAATCAATAAGAACAAATTACAAGTACACACATGGAGGAATATTCACATAAAGAACCTTTAAATTGGATCTTACAGGATGAAACCTGGTTAACGTGATTTTATCTGGTTGTTCAATGGATTTCTTTGACTAGATTAAGTGTGATGTTCTATATCAGATCAACTTACAATAATGATAATAAGTAACACATTTATTGAACCTCTGTAGCTTAACACTAAACCAACATGCATATTACGCGAATACTCCATTACTGCTCGTACAATGTCCTTTAGACATTAATAAATCGTCATTGAATGGTTTTGTGGAGAATGTGGAATTTTCATAGACTTTATATCACAAACTGATCATGGGTAAAACCAGTTGATGACATAACCTATGATATCAGTTACAATTTTATAATACTGATGTGGTGTTTATATGAACTAATGATTCCTTTGTATTTGATGACTCTCAATTCGAATTCCAAATACAATACGCTCATTCGTCCTCATCTAGTAATTCTTGGTTAAATTGTCCATCAGTACAGCACTCCATTATAATTACTATAATTTCGTGTATAAGAGAAAACTACATTAAATTATGCCTAACTCTCTCACTACTACATCACAATCAGTAGCATGACATTTCGAGACAATATTTGATCGAAAGAAATAGAGTGATGCTAGTTACGGAACACACTTGTTACTTGATATAATGGTGTTTTCACTTCAAATCATGTCGACTCTCATAAATGAAAACACAAAATGAAAAACAGTAGATCCAAATCATTTCGAATTGGTCAATCTGAATATGTACTTTGAAAATAATTGATATGTCATGCACCGAAATCAAGACCGAATCCAATACGTAATGAGTCTGTTTTGTATAAAACATACGTTGCTCATGATTAAACAGAAATACTGATTGATTCTCATTGAAATAAGAATTGTGTATCATATAATAAGGTGTAGTTGATGGTTGGGATTCACATGATTCACTCAACCTGACGAATTGAGAGTGTTAGAGAAATGTTCAGTAATACAGATAAAATACCCGATTGACAGAATTGTAAAAGCCCTTAAGTACCAGACAAACACAACACCAAAAACAATCAATGATCAGTGAATTAATATATATCCGTTTTGTAAGAGGTTAGTTATGATGCGAGTAACAAAATAGTCGTAGATTGTACTGGATTGTCGAGTGATCTCAGTTTGGTTCGCTTGACGACTAATAGATCCTTCAAGATCAATGTCACAACGTACAGCACATTGTCTACCGACATAAAACCTGAAATTCGGACATTCGACTGACGGCTAACGAACACAGAACATTACTAGAATAAATTGAAATATCACCTTATCGGCACCAATGGTAAGGATGAATCGGAACTCTCATGATACTCACGTAAACAATATACATAGAAGGATCGGGATTATTCAAATCAGCTCCATAGGTCGATAAACTATGGAGATGAAAACTAGAATAATTTATAGGAAAACAACAATCAGTAAACTCAATTGAAATTAGATGATTGATGGTCAGAATGTTTATTTATATCTGAAGAAAGTACTTTTCATCGAATTGACAGCCAAAGTATTTGTTTTCACCAAATTCTGTTTTTAAAAAAATGTAAAAATCATTAGTGAAATTAAAAATTCTTTCATCTTTATTCTGTGTGTGTGTGTGTTGGTAGGCGATTGGCGGTCACACCTATACAACGATGCGTAATTAAAAAGGACTTATTAGAAACTTCATCAGAGATTTACATTGTGCTCACATCACAATAGAATATACCTCACTATATGTATAGGTAGATAGGAATGTGGTCATAGATGATCACAAGGTATAATCAATGATATATTTCCATAGTCCATTAATGTCAACGGACAGATATTTACAAAATGTACTTGCATATATGTTTATTATAATCAATTTTAGAAAATAATTTTATAAAGAAGAAATCTATTAAGTTTAACAGAACTCAAGTAGGTGTGATGTTAATGTGTTGATTGTTGATTGACTTGAGTGCTAAGCTTATAAACATTCTCCGGTGTCAACAAGATCAAGAGCGAGAGTAACATGCCATTTGTAGGAAAATACGAACACTTAACTTCTGCTGAAAAGTTATGATGATAGTGTTGTTCAGTTTAACTATGAAAGCTCCATTATCAAACCATCTAGCTCAGAGAACAAGACCCCATTCAAAACATCCACCTGAGTCATCAATCTTCTACACCACCTCATAACATCAAATCATCAACTTATCTTTGTCAGACTGTCACTGAAAATTGGAGGTACGTGATTGTGGTTTCGTTTTTGTTTGTGACCCCTAAATGTGCATTTAGGATCATGCATCTAGGGCTATAATTCATGATTTCCCATTCGTTCTCGTACATGAATGCTTAATACCATGGACCACTCGGACGAAATCCAAACGTTTTACATATGCAACTTTGATCAATTCATTAACCTTCACGACCTTCTTCTATTGCTTACAGTCGATAATTGTTTCACACCTGATGTGACTGAACCACATTGGACACAGTTTCTCACTAGAACTCTACCAATCTCATCTTGTAACTAATATATAATCTAATCACAATTGAAATTTCACAATGTTTCAGAAAGAGTTAATGGAATAGAAGCACATTAGAATTGGTATTTTTTATGTAATTGAATACATTTTCTTCTTATATTGTACATGTTAACCTTGTTACAACACATATCCGAATATGTTTGTATATGCACATGCATTTTCTTCAAACACATGGAGTTATACATTGTGTATGTAGTTGATATTTTTCAGAAATACTGAATGACTACTTATTTGAGACAAATTTTGTGTTTTATCTATTTTGATTAGTTGTCCAAAAAAGATTGAATATTTGCTATCTTATGACTGACTTCGAGAGATAATTCTAGGCGTTCTAGTGAGAAACAGTGACCAGTGGAGTTCAAACCACGTCGGCTGTGAGATATCAACTCAATGAAGACAATTAGTAAACAGTTGTTCAAACTTCGTGAATCGGTTGAAGTTAGACATTCACACCATTGAATGCCGGCTCAGTGGTCTACCGGTTAAATGCTCTGGCGCGTGACTAGTAGGTCATGGGTTCGAATCTCGCGAGGTGGGATCGTGAATGAGCTCTGCTTAGGAGTACCACGCTATCACGAAACGACCGTCTAGTGCTTCAAGGTTTTCTATGGTAGTCTAGCTTCAATCGACTGATGATTTCAACTATGAAAATACTGATATCTCCACAAAACCCCTTCTCATTATAACACTATTAATTTATAAGTAGTATGTTATAACACAAATCATATTTTATTAAAAAAAACAATTACATATATAGTAAAAATCAATAAAAATTACATCATTGATTACATCAGTTACTATAGTAAATGATGCATCATTCTACAAAATAATATGACTATACTACTGAAATGAATTACAACAAAAAAATATCATTGTTTCTATGCAACACAATAATAAGGATACAAAAAACAAGTTCTATGAGGATCATTGATTCCTCTATTGTCTTTTAGATAACCAGAACCACACGATGAAGCCAACGCATACAATGACGAGACAAATGACTGATGGTATCAAAACATATAGGTAATTAAACATTGGCTTGTTATCCTTTTGTTCACTTTTGCTATCCTTTTGTTCACTTTTGTTTTCCTTCTGATCACTTTTGTTATCCTTCTGATCACTTTCCTTATCCATTTGTTCACTTTTGTTATCCTTTTGATCACTTTTGTTATCCTTCTGATCACTTTCCTTATCCATTTGTTCACTTTTGTTATCCTTTTGATCACTTTTGTTATCCTTCTGATCACTTTCCTTATCCATTTGTTCACTTTTGTTATCCTTTTGCATATTCTGAAAGAAACAAACAAACAAACAATCGAAATAGTAAAACAGATTTACAATATAGAATGATATTGGGAAAAGCGAAATCTGTTCAGTTCAATGATTACTTACAATCTTTGTACAATTATTAATCATCCAAGCCTTCGAATGTGTATCACGACCAATACTACACAGATTAGCTGTTGAACACCAATGACATTCCATATCAGGTTTCGATGCACTTAAACATGCTCCATTTGAAACTTTCATGAAACAACTTTCTGTAAAAAAAAGAACAATATAAGGGTATTTCAAGTTATTAAATAAAAGATAAATTTTATATAATTGAAATCATAAGTAAAGTGAAGTCAAACCATTATGGGAAACCTGAAAGCACTGTATGGCTGTTTCGTCCTATTGTAGGACTCCTCAGCAGTGCACATTGGGTATTGTGATCATGAATACACTTTTAATATAATTCATGTTTTATAACAGTATGTTGGAATTGAACAAAACAATGTAGTGAATTTCACTGACGGTCCTCATTCAGACATGTACACTTTATAATGTCATTGGGTGAAACAAATCATGCTACATTGAATTGCTGATGGTTGTAGAGTTTCTTCCCTTCACTTATACTGGGTATTTGGAAATCAGTACAATGTAGTCAGTTGTTCGTGGAATAAAACGTGACATTGTACTTGCTAAGATTTCAATCATTCTACTATTATTTTGGAAGGTTTCAAACTGAATGGTCAGATTCTAGGTCTATATATGTTATAAATGACCACATCAGATTGGTTGGATAAACAAATATTCATAAATCATACATAATATTTTATTCAATGAGTATTGAAGAGGGATCTGAACAGTAGATTTGTTCCCATTAGTTGTATACACAGTGCATTGGAAAGTCTCTGTAGTTATTCATTGTACATACTGATGAGAAAGAAAACATTATCATTCTGTGAAAGTTGTCAGTATGTTTGATACTGTACAAATATCTACTGACTATGATAAATTGCTCAACATCCACTGGCCTGATACTAACAACAACAGTGTTTTATGGGAGAGGACAAACCAGCTTCCAGCTGAAGAGGGAATTGGGAAAAGATGTTGGAAGTGGTTCAGACATACATTGAGAAAATCACCAATGTGCATTACAAGTCAATCCGGAAAGGAAGCGGAATAGAGGAAGGCCAAAGAACACATTTCGCCGGGTGATTGAAGCGTATATAAAAATGATGAATAAAAACTGAAAAGAACTGGAAAGGATTGCCCAGGACAGAGTTGGATGAAACCGTGATTACATAAAATTAATCAAAATAGAGATCAAAATGTTCAACAGGGGTTTTCTCAATTATGTCGAATATTTAACAATGAATCGAAATGAAGTCATTCATAGTTAAGAGAACATCCGTTGAGATAGATAGTTACATATTGTAGACCATCAACGTTGATGATCTATATCGAATGATTGGAGGCCTACTCGAGTTAGATGGGAACGGTGCAACGAACAAGCTAACTTCGAAGTTGCACCTCTCGATCAGCACCTCACGTGGATTGCCTCATCGATCCATCAAGAGACCGTTGATGCTCTGAAGATAACACAAAGGACGTTATTACAGGAATATATTAGTTAAAGTAGATGCAAGCGAAAGTAGAACCACTGCCGCATGGGCCAGTCCATGGAGTATGATTAATTGATGCGCGTTGATTGTCCTTGACCTTGACGGGGATCGATGATCTGATCGATATTTAGTGACTCAACTGTCGGATGATTTGGCTAGGGTTCAGTGACATTTCACTGTTCCTACAAGATTATTTAACACCCGACTAAAATGACATTTGTAATTCTTGATATGAAGTAATAAAATTAAGATGTTCAAGTATAAAAATGATCAATATTGATTAAATCCGTTTTAACATACCTGTATTCGGTTCAAACTCCACTAAAGTACCACTTTTGATAAAGTTTTTTGGAATCTGAATTCGATTGTATGGTTCGAAAACAGTATCTGATTGAATAAAAGAAGAAACACTTCAATTTCATAAATTTCTATTGAAATGATAACAAATAGTTTGTATCATTCAACTTGTGAACAAAGTGAACAAACAAAGACACTGTTGAGTTTGGATAAAGTGGCCATGTCAATTGAGTGAGTGCCCTCTTCAATATATGACGTGATGATCCCAGCCAAATCAGAGAGGAGTGAATGATCGATCACAGCAATGACATACAAAAGCCGTATGAGCAGTCTTGAGTACTTATCAGTCCTGCTATCTGCTTAGCCCAGCCATTTAAGTCCAGGACACCAATCTCAGCCTCTGCAATATGAATCATTATTCCCAAACCTATTGCGTTTACATACCAAACAAAATGACTACATCGTATCATAAAATAAAAAATAATATTTGTACAAGATTTGGTCAAATGTGGCTGTGAATAGGGGGAACAGTAATCAATAGACTGGGTATCTAATAATTGAATATCGGTCTAAGTAATATAACCATCACACTGACTTTGATTTCTCAAAATACAATAAAGTTTAAATAGTACTCTCATGAAAAGTTTTCCAACTTTATTTTGGACATCAGTTCACAATACTCGAACAGTTTTATCTTACACATGGAAGAATCGACTGATGTTAAGGTGATAACTAGTTGCATTGTCGATATACGTCATTGTACATCGGAACATTCAGAAAAAATACCGGTAAAATTGTTCTTACTGTTTTGTTTGTCTAAACATTCGTATCGATAATCAATCCACGATTCCAAATTTTCTCCAACAATTTCCTTGGGTATCTGGAAATAAGCATGGGATATATAAGCCAAGATCTGTCAAACGCACAACCACCTAGATCAAAAGCAACTTATCATTTCAGTAGTATGTCATTCATTAGGTCATCATATTCAAAGACAACTAGTTGCACACACACAATATGTATGCTAATATTATCAGTTTGTTTTCCAAGATGCTTCTTACATAGGTATTCTGACTTAATATAGTCGTCGAAATAATTCAGGTCTAATGTACAATCTTTCTTTGATGGAATGGTGTGATACAACGTAAGAGTAATAGCTACGTGTGTTCAAATAAAATGTGATTTTGAATCATCCTTATAAATAATAAACAATGTTTCCAGATAATTTCCCATTATTTACGATGAATTCAGCCTTACAACACATCATCTGTTCCATCTTATCACCATTTTACAATTAATCAACAGCAACTGTATACTATACTAATGGCAAAGCAAGTGCAGTATTTCTATAATTGAAGAATAGATGGAACTTGAAATAACTCTCAACTAATTTCAAAGTAAGAATCTTCAAAACGAATGTCGAGACAATCAGTCCTACTGTACGGAGATAAAACGTGGAGCACTACTACATCCATCATCAAGTAAGAAGGTACAAGTATTTATAAACAGTTGTTTATGCAAAATACTCAACATCCATTGGCCGGATACTATGATCAACGGCGTTTTATGGGAGAGGACAAACCAGCTTCTAGCTGAAGAGGAAATTAGGAAAAGATGTTGAAAATGACTAAGACATACATCAAGGAAAACACAAATGTGCATCACGAAGCAATTCCTAGCTTGGAATCCGGAAGGGAAGCGGAAAGGAGTAATGCTAAAAAACACATTACGTCGGGAGATTGAAGCAGATATGAAAAGGATGAATGGTAACTGGAAAGGAAGGCTCAGGACAGAGTTGGAAGGAGAATGCTGGTGTGCGGCCTATGCTCCTCGACGAGGGGTAACAGGCGTAAGTAAGCAAGTAAGTAAGTAACTGTATACCAAGTAGATGAATGGCTAAACAATGATATTCAAATAACTATACACTCTAAAATGATCAACAATTTCATCAATAAACCTGTTCCAACTATCCTACAATGAACATTTCACAACAGATTATCTTTGAAAGACGAAATAACGATTGTCTAAATTTCACTGTTTTCATAAAATACTCTTATGTACAGTGTTTGTTTTGAATCGGTGGAAGTATATCATCGTCTCCTAGGAAAGTAGTACACTTCCAATTCCTAACCGTCTTCGAAAATAGTGGTAGAAAAAAGTGTGTTTTTATTATTATTCGTTATGATGTCATGCCATGTGTCTTACTTACTTACTTACGCCTGTTAATCCCAATGGAGCATAGTCCACAGAAAAGCATTCACCAACTCACTCTGTCCCGCGCCTTCCTTTCTAGTTCTATCCACTTGTTGTACATTCTTATCATGCCTGTCTCCATTTTTCGGCGTGATCTGTTCTTTGGTCTACCCCTTCTCCTTTTGCCTTCAGGATTCCTTGTGAGGGCTTGTCATGTGACGCAGTTAGGTGATTTCCTCAATGTGTGTCCTATCCACTTCCAGCGTTTCTTCCTGAATTCTTCTACCACTAGAATCTTGTTTGTCGTCTCCCACAGTATCGTGCTGCTGATAATGTCGGGCCAACGGATCAGGAGTATATTGCGTAGACAACTAATTATAAACACTTGTATCTTCTGGATGATGGCTTTCGTAGTTCTCCACGTCTCCGCCCTATACAGTAGAACTGTCTTGGCATTTGTATTGAAAATTCTGATCTTGGTGTTGATTGACATTTGTTTTGAGCTGCAGATGTTTTTCAGTTGTAAATATGCTATGTCATGTGTCTGCATATGACAAAATGCTGATCTCATTTTTCTCATGTTAAGTGAATTATCATACATTGGACAGTAGTCAAGTGAATAAGACAGCTAATTGAAATAATTTGAAATACCATCACATCTCCATTTAGTAATATGACTTACATTGTTAAAGTAAAGAGACATCTTTCCATTTGAATGTATCATATAAGTTACCTCACCTTCTACAATCATGAAATGAATACTATCATTACTTAAAACATTGAGGAAACATTTAAAAAACATGTTATTGTTTGATTTCACATTGAATATGCCTATTCATCAAATGATCTAATCTTAAAAGAATTTCAAGTCGAAATGATCACATTCAAGTGAACCTCAAGCCAATTAAACAAACATGTATCCCTCAAAGTGAGTGTCAAACGACTAGTGTTCCAGTCTGAATTACACTGTCACCTTCATATTCAAACAATAAATCACCATATTCATTTAGTATTGTTTGTTTGAATCTTCCCTTTGATGTTTAGGACTGCAACTGGTCAGTCTCTAATTGGCATATGTGCATACTGTACGTATTGCCTCGATATAGCCTTAATTCATTGTAAGCATGGTAAGCAAAGATGGATAGTGAC